GAGCATTAATACAGTTTGCGCATACTTCTTAATGGTTTAAATGAATGTGAAAATGTATACACGTTTCTTTCTCTCATCATCTTTAAGTGGTTTTTATGTCTTTAGCATAATGTCATTTTTTTCTTCCCTAAGGCCTCAAGTTTTGCTTCTTTGCTGAAGTCCTTACTGGAAATTGAATTCCTAGGTTTGCCCACAAAATAATCTGCAAGCAACAGTGTTGATTACATCTTCATGATACAACAGAAATACAGTTAATTTTACAACAGAAGTATGTGTTGAGTATCAGGCAAAATATACACCCAGAGGACAGTAAAATGGTCACTTGGGTACAGGAATGCCACGCATACACTACGAGTCTGTTGAGTCCAAAGCAGAGCTCCTTGAACTAGTCTCCTAGGTGTGGTCAACCTTTGGACCTAACATGACTTTCAACAACCCAATTATTTGTCTCTTGGGGATTTTAAGACTGCAAAGGTGTTTGTTAATTGAGATGCAATTCACATACCATAAAATTCACCCTCTTAGACTGTAAAATTCTGTAGTTTTAGTGTATTTGCAAGATGGTGTCACCATCACCACTATTCAATTCTAGAACATCTTTCATCAAAAAGAAACCCCATACCCATAGTAGTCACTCCCTAGTCTTTCCTTACCCCCAGTCCCTTGGCAGCCTCTAATCTGCTTTCTCTGTCTCTGGATTTGCTCTTCTGGATATTTCACATACATGGAATATTCCAGTATTTGGCCTCTTGTATCTGGCTTCTCTCACTTAGCGTAATGTTTTCAAGGTTCGTCCATTTTGTAGCATGCATCAGTACTTCATTCCTTTTTATGGGTGAATATTATTCCACTGAATGAAATACCACATTTTATTTATCCACTCATCAACTGATAGTCATTTAGGTTGTTTCCACTCTGGGGCTATTAGGAATTATACTGCCATGAACAGATATTTGTGTACAAGTTTTTGGTTTTTGTGAGAGTATATGTTTCATTTCTCCTGGGTATATATAGGCATGAGATTGCTGCGTCATGGGAATTCTGTCGTTAACCTTTTGAGGATTGTTTCCCAAAATGGCTGCACCATCTTGCATTCCTTCAAGCAGCATATGAGGGTCTCAGTTCTCTACATCCTCCCTGACACGCTGTTATCTGTCTTGATAATTATAATCATCACAGTAGGGGTGAAGTGTGGTATCTCATCGTGGTTTTGATTTGCCTTCCTCTGATGGCTAAAAATGCCAAACATATTTTCATGGGCTTACTGGCCATTTGTATGTCTTCTTTGGAAAATGTCTATTCAGGTTCTTTGGCTATTTTTAATTAGGTTGTCTTTTAGTTATTGCATTTTAAGAGTTTTTTGCATATTTCAGATACAGTTCTCCTATCAGATTTGCAAACTTTTTTCCCATTCTGTGGGTTTTTTTCCTATCTTCATGGTATCCTTTGAAGCACACAAGTTTTAACTTTGAGGAAGTCCGATTTATCTGTATTTTCTTTCGTTGCTTGTGCTTTAATGTGTCACATCTAAGAGATCATTGCCTAACCCAAGATCATGAAGATTTACACGTACGCTTTCTTCTAAGAGTTTTGTAGGTTTAGCTCTTAACATTAGCTCTTTAATCCATTTTGAGTTAATTTTTATATACAGTGTTAGGTAGAGGTTCACTTTTTTTTTTTTCCCTGAAGATTCCATCTATTTAGAGAGAGGGTGCATGTGCGCAAGCAGGGGGCAGGGGAGGAACAGAGGGAGAGAGAAAGAAAGAATCTCCAGCAGACTGTGCATTGAGCGTGGAGCCTGACACAGGGCCCAATCCCATGACCCCAAAATCACAACCTGAGCTGAAATCAAGAGGCAGACGTTCAACTGACTGAGCCACCCAGGCACCTGTGAGGTTTTTTCATTCTCATGAATGTATGTATCTAAGCCCAGAACAATCTCTTGAAATGGCTATCCTTTATCCCCCTTGAATGGTGGCATTCATGTTGAAAATCAATGGACCATGAATCTGTGGGTTTAATTCTGGACTTTCTATTCCATCAGTTTATGTCTGTCCTTAGGCTGGTACCCACGCCATCTTGATTACTGTGGCTTTTATAGTAACTTTTGAAATCAGGAAGTGTGAATCTCTTTAACTATGTGCCAGGAAAATTTTGAAATTGAGTTAAACTAAGTTAGTCAAATAAAGACAACTAGACAAGGAACTATTCTTCAAAGTAAGTTTACGCAGGCCTCAAACTAACCTAATTTACTTTGGAACAGAATGGCTGTCGAGACTTACCCAGCCGGATTCATTTTACTCCTTCCTTCAATTTTTTTTTTTTAAAGATTGTATTTATTTGTCAGAGAGCAAGCGAGAGAGAGCGCTCAAGCAGAGGGAGGAGCAGGCTCCCCACTAAGCAAGGAGCCCGATGCAGGACTCGATCCCAGGACCCTGGTATCGTGACTTGAGCAGAAGACAGACGCTTAACCAACTGAGCCACCCAGGCATCCCACCTTCCTTCATTTATTCAGCAATGATTTTAGGGAGTTTCTATACCAACACAATTGTGAGCAGTGTTGAACACTGGACAACATAAAAAAAAATCTCATGTCCAGGAGATGGTTTTGGAAATTCCATCCCAGGTGGGAGGTTTTCAGCCAGAGCAGTGATGGTAAGGATAGGACACTCTTAAGAAATGTTGAGACAGAATTTTTAGGACTTACAATGGATAAATTATAAGTGGTGAAGGAGAATAAGGGATTGGAGCTACTTCTATTTCTGGCTTGGGGGTGATGAGTAAATGGGCAGATGGTAAAGGAGTAGACTGCACTGGGCTGAGTAAATACCCTCAGTAGTATCATCTGTTCTTTCAAGAAGTCCAGGAAGGCGGAAGGAAAGAACAGGGTTATGAGAAGGTTAAATGTGTTTTGTTGGGTGCGTTTTAGGGTGGAGGATATTTGCCATCTGGGATAAAAATTGCAAATGAGATGGGTAGTGTCATTATTACTTTAGGCCTCAGAAGAAACAGAGCGGGGCACCTGGGTGGCTCAGTCGGTTAAGTGGTGGCCTTTGGCCCAAATCATGATCCCAGGGTCCTAGGATCCCCGCATCGGGCTCCTTGCTCAGCAGGGTGTCTGCTTCTCCCTCTCCCTCTGCCTGCCGCTCCCCCTGCTTGTGCACGCTCTCTCTCTCTCTCAAATAAATAAATAAAATCTTAAAAAAAAAAAAATAGAGCAAAGACACTCTTTCCTCCAAGACAGTTGATAGGAGAGTTGATGTTGATTCTCTGTATTTTCCCTGTAGCAAACATTAGGAGGTGGGCTAGGTTAGGGAACTACAGATCTTAAGAGTAGTAAAGCGTTGGAGCAGCCACTGAGAACTGTAGATAAAATAACAAGGAAACAGAAAATAGGAATGAAAAAGACAAGACAGAGGATCGGTTCAGGAAGTCTAACAGCTAAATATCAGTTCCTAAAAGAAAGAACATAGAAAATAGAGGGGAGGAGATTATCAGTGAAATATTTCAAGAAAAGTTCCCCATAAAGAAGCACAGTATGGCTTCCAGATTGAAAGGACCCATTTGACAAAACAGGGGAAGGGGATTAAAGGTACGGATGTACAGGGGCACCTGGGTGGCTCAGACTGTTAAGCCACCAACTCTTGATTCCAGCTCAGGTCGTGATCTCAGGGTTGTGAGATAAAGCTCCGCGCTCAGCTGGGAGAATCTGCTTGAGACTCTCTCTCTCCCTCTGCCCCTACCCCACTCATATGCGGACATGCATGCTGGCTCGCTCGCTCTCAAAAATAAATTTTAAAAAAAAACAAACAAAAGATATAAACTTCCAGTTATAAAATAAATGAGACATGGGAATGCAATGTATGGCATAGAGAATATAGTTAACAATATCGTAACAAGTTTATATGGTGACAGATGGTACCCAGATTTTCGTGGCGATGACTTCATAATACATGTAAACGTTGAGCCACTATGTTGCACACCTGAAACTAATAAAATATTGTATGTCAACTACACTTCAATAAAAAAAGGAAGGACCCGTTTGAGTTCCCAATACAGTAACATCAACATGAAGACATGAATAACTACAGGTTTCCAAAGAAAGAAAAGAGGCCACAGAGGAAAATAATCAGGAATCAGAATGGCTTCAGATGTCACAACAGCCAATACCAGAAGCAAGACAACTGAGCAAGGCCTCCATATTTCCAATAGAAAGTGATTTTTGGCCCATACTTCTATATGCAGCCAGGTTATTCAGTCCACTTTGAGGGCAGAGAAAGATTTTCAGACACTCGGTACAAAAAGCAGGAGAATAAGCCAAGGAGAGACTGGAGTAGGGTACAGCACGGGATGGGGCCTGCTCTTTCCACGACAGAGCTGGTGCTACTGGTCAACTCCGGTACAACTCTGACTTTTATACATGTTGAAGCTTTAAAGTGAACGGGCCACAACAATGTGAATGTGTTGAATTCCACTGAGCTGCACATTTTAACATTATTAAAATGGTATATCCGTTTACTACAAGTTTAAAAAAAAAGATATATGGGAGGTAGAAACAGGCAGCTCATAGAAGTCTTACAGTTTAGCTGTCAAGGGTAGATAAGGGACAGTGGTGAAGGGGTGGGAATGGGGAGTGGTATACAATTATTGTACTGTTTCCCCCTTAGAAAGTTTTTAAATTTGGAGTCAGAAAAATCCAAGAATGTCTGTGTAAGTGCCCAGCTCCCGCCCAGTAGGAATTTAGCTAATGTGAGCTGAATCTGACTGGGATGGCTGCGTGTTCTTTCCTGGATGTTTCCTGGGGCCTTGGCATTGACATTCCATCTGAGGCAGTCCTCTCAGGTTTCACGTGAGGAAAGCGGCATTGACGACATCAGATAAGTTTTTCACCATTTAAGTATTTTCACCGGTGGCCTCCGGACAAATGTTTAATTCAGAAAAATAAATATAGCCTAAACACATCTTATTATCTTACAGCGTGAACTTCCTGCCTGAGGACTATAAAGACTAAGTAGTTTGAAAATGGAAAACCAAGAAACAGCGGATCCTTCTCAAAATACCAAACAGTCTATTATTTCAGAGGAGGTATAAATTGTTTTTCACTTCTCTGCCCCCTCCCTACACAGAGCTGAGTTTAAATGAAATGTAGAAACTGTTGTTTCAAATGTTTATATTTAATTCTTTGTGTGTGTGTATTCAATTATTAAACAGTTTCTTAAACATTGTTCCTACTCCCTTTTTAGGACTCAGGGACATTTTGCTCTTGTGTGGGAGCAATAGTGTATCTCTTAATTATATGTACTAGTGAAGTGTTTTTAAAGTGGATTTGGGCTGTTGATACAAAAATTTTCAAAATTTTATTAAAAGTTTCCCTGGGTAGAAGAATAAGTCATACGTGAGTTATAGGGTTTAGACATTCCATACCTAAGTATCACGTCTTAGTTAGCTGTTTGTGGTCTCAATATATATGTTTAAGAACAATAAGAATCTAAGTTGTTAGTTGTAGTCTGAATTCCAGAACTAATGTATATGTTGTATGTTATTTGGTTTAGCTTTTAATAAGTCTCTTTCTGCAGGAACCATTGCAATGGATAAATTTTAAATCCTTCGCCTTGGAACTCTGACCTTGACATCTTCCTGCAGTTGTTTACGATTTAAAAATCTTTCCATGTTGTCTGTGAATAGATCTGCTGATAAATATTAGGTTGCTGCTGGCCAGAAGTGAAAGATAGGATAGTGAGAAAAAAGCTACTGCTTTATGTCCGCAGTGACTCTCTTCTGTCAGTTCAGTATAGTGCCGTAGGTAAGTTAGTCCAGGTAACCGAAACTCAATGTCCAGGCAGAGCGATCCTGGGCCACCTGTCTTGGAGGGGATGGGAAACCCACGTGTTCCTAGAAATGCGGTTGTTGGACATGGTTTCCTCAGTCAGCCTTCCCGTGCGGTCACTGACTATAAACCACCACTGAGGACTCTCTACCCACGAAACACACCTCTGTGATGAGCACCCAGCTCAGAGGATAGAACACTAGGTCCCCAAAAACCCCTCACTCCTGGTTCTCCCTCTCCACTTCCCCGCACCCCCCGTTTGTCAATTCTCATCTCTCAGTATCACTTCCCAAACTCCAGAAAGAAACCCAAACACCCTTCAGAAAAAAAAAAACTTTCCATACTTTGAACTGAAAACCTTCCCGCAACTACTGGGAGGGGCACGTGAGCTCCGGGAGGGCCAGGAAGAGAAAATCTGAAAGAAAACAAACCTAAGTAAAATCCTCAGTTTGAAAATCTCCCAAATTAATGTCTCCTCTTAGTTAATTTCAGAAGGAAAATGGGTCAAGCTTGAAAAAACAACGTACATGGATCCTACTGGGAAAATAAGGTAAATGATTTTTTCCCTTCTGTAAAATGCGCAGTATTTGGGTTCTCAGTCAGGTCTCTGTTTAGCATTTGATGTAAACTCTGATAGCTTCCTCATTATAAACTTGGTCTTAAATGAAAAATCTAATTCAGTGCTTTCTCATTGTTAGAATGTCTGGGTTGCTTATAATCTCTGAATAAAATTACATTGTCAGTTTGTTATAATAACTAATCAGGAATTGATTTTTAACACCATTCTCCCTGAGGAGATTCTTATGAACCTGAGATTTGGGGCCAGCCTCACTTAAGCTGATAAAGCAGCAGAATAATTAGCCATCCAGGCTGCCCCCTTCTGGTCACACCAATTTTTAATTTGTAAATTAGAAGGATTAAGGAGAGAATAGTTCTGGGTTTGAGATAAAACTTACATCCTTTATACCTTGCTTGTGGAAATGTGAACTGGGGGGGAAAAAAGTTTTGCAAAGCATTTCACAGTATGTACCAGACAGACACCCTTCGACCTAAGTAATCCCATTCCTGAGACTGTTTGGAGTCAGGTTTGTGCATGAAATATGTTCATCAAAATTTAAAAAGACAACAAATTGAAAGCACCCTAATCATTTTAAAAATTGGGAAATGATCGTTATAGTGTAACATAAGAGAATATGATGTACAGTATGAGGGAACATAGTCAATGATATTGTAACAACTTTAGTGACTACACTTATGACCATTTTGTAATTTGTATAATTATTGAGTCACTATGTTGCACACCTCAGATACAATTTGTGTGTCAATTATTCTGCAATCTGAAAGTGGGGAAATAATTTTTTAGTGTATTCATTTGGTAAAATCTCTGCAGTCATCTACAGAGCAGATTCTGAAGACAATCTAGCAATATGAGAAAAGTGATTAAGTTGTTAACAACATAGGAAATGGTATTTATGCTTTTTAAATTCTTTCCAAATAGTATATTTAAGAAAAGGCTAGAAGGAAAACTGGCAAAATATTAAAGGCACCTGTGTGGTAAACCTTTTCTGTTTTCCAAATTTTCTGTTTAGAAAGTTTTTGATTTTATAATTAACTATCAGAGAAAAATATGTTAAAAATAGATTAAGCATTTCCCTAGTGAAATATAAATAGGAATGAAGTGGAATGAGAAAATACAAAAATATAACTAAATTTAGTATCCAGATTACATGATATAAATTAATTAATATAAAAAGTCCATTTGCTAAGTGATCAGATAACAGAGTTTCTTCATGAGAAAATATATCTACATCCCTGTGAAAGGATGCGGACTTGCCAGTAATAACTGAAACCACTTTAATTACATTTACTAAACTATTAAAAGTATTAATAAGGGCCAGTGTTGGAGAGCTGTAGGAAACATTAAGCTATCCAAAGCACGATTAAATTAAAACCTCAAAGTAAGAAACTGGGCACACTGCAGTCCAACACAGGGGAAGCGTACAGAACACTTATTTACATGAGTTTGATGTGTGGAACTAAGTAGGAAATTACTAGCGGGTAAAGGAATACAGAAATGTGGCCAGGCCCAAGCCTGCAGGAACACAATATGCTCAAATGTACTTGTATTTGTGAAAATGTACCCAATTTGTAGTGATATGGTTTGACTCTCTTTTTCCTCTAAAGTTGTTTATAACAGATACAACCCTTAACACTAATTGATTGAAAGAGTAGGTGTTGGTTTGCACCAGCTCATCTCTTCACCTGACTCATCTTCCTCCGTCAGCATTTCTTAACAGGGACGTGCATCAGAATCACTTGGAGGCTTTTTATCGCAATACTCGCATCCAGGTCTCACCTCTAAGGCGTCTGTCTCAGTATTGAGGGGTGCACTCAAGCCTACCAGATACCGTGCTTACATGGCCCTTTATAGCATGTTCACCTCCGTTCTTGCACGTGGACGTCTTCCCCATGACTTCCAAGGAGCTCTTACAAGACACATTGACGTTTCGTACCAAATGTCAGGCTTTGCAGAGTGAATCTCTGGACTTTCCCATAGGTCATGATGGTTAAACTTATCAAATATTTTATCTGGTACCTGATACATAAGCATGTCGGTAAGGATGAAATAGCAGCTTGAAAATCCTTTGTGCCACCATGTTATTTGTGGATAAAGATACAGAATTGATTTTAGTTGTGTAAAAACTGCTGGCAGCATCCCCCTTTATAGACATTCGGGACCGAGCCAAAGTCATCTTTTATTGCCATTCCTGCCTTTTGTGTTTGTTGACTAGGCTAACAATATGTTCTGGGAAAACAGGCTTTCCTATAACAAAGACTCAAAAACTGGAGTAGCTTAACTAGAATCTGAATTTGAAAGCTACAAGAGGCGTTTGAGATAACTTACTCTTAATTCCCTAGTGTTACAACTGAGAACAGTCTCAAGGAGTTTGTGGCTATGGGATTAGCTGTTAGGCAGACAGAGACTAAGATTTTCTGACTCAATCTAAAGTCCGTCTCTCAGAGTCCCTTGAAGATGATTGGAGCTCTCATGGGGCATTCCTGGTCTAGGGTTCCTTATAAATGCATTTATATTTCCTTGCTCATGATTCATGGCTTGTTACTGGTTATTTTACTTCATCTTAACCACTATAATGATGCTACTGTTTTTGTTTTCCTTATTCCTAGTGTTTTTGGGGTGACACCTTCAGTGTTCCTCAGCACTGTCTTCTTCAGTCTTTACAACTAACCTTAAGAGGTAGCAGAGAGAGCTCTGCCAAAAGGTGTTTCGTCTCTTGCAATCTGTATTATTTACTGATCAGAATTGCTTATTGGTTGGCTTCTTGTTACTAACAGGAATGTTGGGCAGGTGTGAGTTGCCATAATAGTGTTTGGTTTTCATAGGTTCATTTTGACACGTTTGCCATTAGAATTTGGGTATAATACCGAAAGATCTACAGTTTACAGAAAGGTTTTTTTTTTTTTTTTTAAGATTTATTTATTTGAGAGAGTGCACCAGCAGGCGGGGAGGGCAGAGGGAGAAGCAGACTCCCCGCTGAGCAGGGAGCCCAATGTGGGGCTCGATCCCAGGACCCTGAGATCACGATCTGAGCCGAAGGCAGACGCTTAACTGACTAAACCACCCAGGCGCCCCCAGAAAGGTTTTTTTGTTTTTTTAACTAGATTGAATAATCTAGATTTTTTCCATAGAAATGTGGCACAGTCCAACCCTTAAGGACAAGCTCGTCAAAGGTGTGAGGGCCCCTCTGGGCAGCCCATCTCCTCAAACCCACTCTTCTGTGGGGAGGCTGACGTTGATGCCTTTCTTACCCTAGTCTCCAGCACCACTCAGATGGCTTACTTCTCCTAGATCCAAAATTGATCTGCTTCTTCACTCCCATCTCTTAGCACTGCTCCTTTCTGTTTAAGGGATAAGAGAGGGAAGGGGAATTTCCCTCACATGTCCTTCCCCTTCAAACACAAGTGACACAATTGTAGCAATAACTGGATTTTCAGGACAGCGTTCCCCAGAAAGAAACAGCTAATCACGGAAAGGGAGCAGGAACCTGCCATTGCTCATCTCACTTTTTCCTCTGTGGACCATTTTCCCCTTAGGTAAGATCTCACACATGCAAAAGACAGCACTTAACTAAATTTAATAATTCCTCAAGGAATAAATGGAATGGTCCTGCTTTCTTAAATTGTTATTTTAGGTTATGTGTAAATAACATCTCAGGAGTTCATATTATGCAGAATATCTTTTGTTCTTAGCAAAAAGACTGGACTTTTCATAGGGGCGTAATTTGCACAGACTGCTCAGTAGCTTTGTAGCTTAATTGACTGCTCACCTGTAGACTTAAAATCCAACCTGAAGTATTTCCAGTGAACGATTTGAAAGGCAGCTCAAGCGAACAACAGGCCTTCTCTTTAGATAACATCAGAGGGTTAGATGTAGGGTGGCACGTTTTCTTTGGAAAAATTTTCAGGAGCTACAGGAAAGCACAGTTGGCTTTTCCTATACAGATGTGTATGGCTGTGGTCTTCTTGACCATTATCATTAGTACACTTGCATGCTTTGCATTTGAAAGTTCTGGTTGTGGACCGAAAACCCAAGGACATTCCCCTCTGTAACACCAGTGATTTTGTTTTTTCTTCTCTGCCTGGACAGAACTTGGGAAACTGTGAAACGTACAACCAGGAAAGGACAGTCGGCTGATGGTAGGAGTGCAAACCTGTTACAACTCTTCATGAAGGAAGTCACCGCACATTATTGCAGGAGGCGGGGTTCTTTTTACTTTAACCAAGACCTCAGAGCAGTTCTCTTCAATTATGATCTTTCATCTTTAATCCTGCTATTCCTTTTTGCATTGTTACATGACTAAATCAGGCTTTCTTTTAAAGATTTATTTATTTATTTGAGAAAGAGAGCATGGCAGGCGGAGGGGGAGAGGGTTTAAACAGACCCCGTGCTGACATGGGGATTGATCTCACGACCCACGACCCTGAGATCACGACCTGAGCCGAAACCAAGAATCAAGACGCTTAACCAAGTGCACCACCCAGGCATCCCAGTCAGGCTTTCTTGATACATAATTCTGGCTCCTGTTATCTCGGGTCAGTACAATGTTTTGAGGGGCAGGTCTACTAATATTTAGAGCCAAATATAAGTCAGTATAACTTGAAGCCACATACTGTTGTCTAGATATGACTTTTTCAAAATCCTGTGTATTCTCTTCAGAGGACCTAGGTGAAAGCCTTTAATTTGGAAAAATATTTGGCCCTGCTTTATGATGGACCAGTTGCTTTATAAGCTGATGAGGAAATGGAATTAGGAGAAGACTATCCTATGCATTCATTTCACTGTCCTTTCCACGCATAAATGCTTTGACTGCAAAGATCCTGAAAATCCCCTCTGATCTAGGAGAGGTTGGGCAGTAGGTCTTTGTTTTTTTCCCTTTCATTTTGTTGTCTGTTTTTACTGAAAGTACACAGAGTAGCTGCGACAGCTGCTGTTTCTGCCTGTGGGGATAGTTGGGGGCAAGGGAGTAGCCAAGAGCTCCCCGTAGGCAATTTTGTGTTTTCCAGAACACAGTGGGATTTTGCCTATGTTTTAAGGCCATGCAAAAGGTTTCTCTCTTGGGAGAAAAGGTCCTTGATCCTAAAACAGTCAAATCCAGTGTAGCTAGCGTTTACCACAAACAGCAAGACTGACTTGATTCATTGCTTCAAGGACGCACAAGCGCACGTTAGATGACTGTCCCTTCACCCGCAGTCTGGCTTCCTGCAGGGTGAGAAACGGGCCTCTGCGGAGGTTAGCATAAGGCAGGAATGTGTCCTTGACCCTGTGCTAAATGCTCATGGACGTTTCGTTAGGGATTCCCTTGGTTTGATCTCCTGCTCACAGGCGTGGCGGTCATCCCAGTGCTGCAGCGGACTCTTCATTACGAGTGCATCGTTCTGGTGAAGCAGTTCCGGCCACCGATGGGAGGCTACTGCCTAGAATTCCCTGCAGGTGAGTCCCTGAACCGAGGGACCGCCGGGCCCGGCGCCGAGCCCTGCAGCGTATGGACCCTGAACACTTTCATCTGTCCCTGTGGTTTTAAGTAAAACAGAAGCATCCCTGCAGCGAGCTACCCCCGGTCGCGTTCTAGTGACGCGCTAAGCCCGAGAGCGAGGCGAGGGTGGCGTCCCAGCCGGCCTTTCCCAGCCACCTCTCAGCAACATTCTAACTTCTCTTTGAGGAACTGCGTTTCCCTAATTTGTCAACTGAGTTCCATTTTCTATCACTAGCGATCTGCCTCCAACTGGAAATTCACAGTAATATAATGAGGTCAGACTCTTAACCCCAAAAATCGTGAAGGGAAAAGACATCTTGATCTTCCTGTATGTACACAGGCCAGGGAAACGGTCTTAACTTCCACTAGAATATTCTCTTGAGTTGCACAGTTAAGTAGAGCTATCCAGAATTTGAAGCTCTATGGCATCATAGGACTTAATTGGGTTGTTCCCATCTGAAGAGATTAGATCTCATTTATCGTTAGCGGTATAGGTTTTGTACTTTGAAATTCCAGCCCATGAGAAGGCATACCAACTCTCCTTCTCATTTACCAGCCATTTCACTTGAAGAAATTAATAACTTTAAAAGTAACAGAATAGGCTGTATTTTACTTTTTCATTGCGTTATTTCGAGTAAAATAATCCAAGTTCTACGGTCCTCCCCGCTTGGCCTCCCCATCAGCTGCCTCGAGTCCGCCAGCCTCCCAGCCTTCTCCCTCGCAGGTGATGCTCATGCCAGCATTTCTGTCCAGGCCCCAGGATCGCCCTGCAAGGGAGGAAAGCAAGTAGGTGACATTGTGACCTGAGGAAACTGAAAAGAGTGCCAGGCTTCCTGGGCGGGGGCACATAGCTGGTCCGTCACCAAGGTCAGTGGGCCAACAGCACTGAGCCACTTCTCCTCACAGGAATCCGCGTGCAGAACACAAGTGCCGAGACACTCCTGGGAACAGTTGAGGTCTAAGTAAGACGAACAGATGAGAGCTACCAGAACCTACTCGATGTGCCTAGGGTTTTTTCTTTCGCCCTTTTTTCTTAAAAAAGTTCCAAACCTCAGTCAGTTGTACCTGTACAACCACATTCCACAGTCCTCTGGTTCTTCTCATGTAGCTCAACCGCAATTCTACTAGAAGGAGAGGTTCCAAAACCCTGGATTCAACCTAGCCCACCTCACAAATGATTTGAACTTCCAGGTCTCATCGATGATAATGAGAGCCCAGAAGCAGCGGCTCTTCGGGAGCTTGAGGAAGAAACTGGCTACAAAGGTGATGTTGCAGAGTGTTCTCCAGGTGTGTACTGCTATCCAGGTGTGCACTCGGGGACAGACTTGAAAATTAGTCAAGCCGTAGATTCTTCTGTGTGTAAAGGATAATGCGGGTGTTCTTTATGCTCAGGATTCAGACGGCTTTTGTCTTGGCTAATTCACTGACAAGAAATCCTAGTTAGATTTGGTCACCCTCTACCCGTGAGCCTCCCCTCCACAGGGGAGCCAGTTTGAACAAGAAGGCCCTGAAGCTGGAGCAGAAACGTGAAATCCATTACCTTCCCGAGTTTCCCACGTCCTAAGCTTTATGCTTTCTTACCTCATCCATGTGCCAGGCACCTCACTAGAGTTTATTTCTTGTGGTGGTGAAAGGAGTTGACAGCACGGCAGCACCGCCTAACCCCTCAGACTTACCGAACTCAGGAACTCGGGGGAAAGTACGAGTGCTGGCTACACGCATGCTCGGCGGTCCTGCAGCTCTACCAAGGGGATCGGGCCAACCGTCGTTTGCCTGCACGAGTTCTGTGTTAACTGTGAATCATGAGCCCGGTTTTCTTCCGAAGACATTTAAGTAACGAAAGAGATGGCACGTGACTGGTGTCTGTCAGGGTGACCTGTCGCTTCTCTCCGCAGCTGTATGTATGGATCCAGGTCTGACAAACTGTACCACACACATCGTGACGGTGACTATTAATGGGGATGATGCTGAAAACGTGAGGCCTAAGCCGAAGCCAGGTGAGCGTGCGGCGGATACGTTTAAGGTGCTGTTGCGTTAAAGACCGTTTAACTTGCTACTGATTCGGTTTCTGACTTGTCAGAATAGGCTTGTAGGTCCGTCATCGGTACTCCAGGCTCTTTTCCTAATCTTGGGTCCTTTAGCATTTTTCTTTCAACGCTTACTGACCTTTATGCTTTCTTTATAAAATGTCAAATTAACAATATTTACGTATTTTCTGTGTGGAGTTTATGCCCACGTGGTAATATGAGCCACAGATCTGAAGAGTCAACAGTGAAAATCTTCAGAATCACTCATTTCTGTCTTCGTGTGTTATAAGAATGGCATAAATTATTATGAGCAGACAGCAGCTGACTAGTCTTCAGGGGGTTCCGTTCTTAGAGAAGCGTTTAGGAAGTTCCTGGCTCTATTATTAATTTCTCAGCAAGTTCGGACTCGAGCTTTGATGCCTGTCTGTCCATGTCGTCTCCCACCCCATTCCAGGTGGTGCTCTCACACACACACAGTCACGTGTCACACAGTCACGTGTGGCACAGTCGTGTCACAGTCACGTGTCACACACACACAGTCACGTCACAGCCGTACTCTTCCATTTCTCACCACCTCACGTGCTCCTGAATGTTCCAGTCCCTTCGCAGCTGATTCTAAATGCTCAGTTCAGACTTGCTAATACGCGTATGACATGCAGTGCAAGAGCCGTCCTCAGAGGTGAACAGGATCACCCATTAGCCGGCAGTTCCACTCCTAGGTCTACACCGCAAAGCACTGAAAGCAGGGGCAGGGGCTTGCCCAGGTACTTGCACACCAGCGTTCATGTAGCCACCCTCACGGTACCCGAAAGGTGTCCATTAGCAGATGCACAGCGGGATAGCATCCAGCCCTTAAAGAGACCTGCTGGTGCAGGCTGTAACAGCATGAAGTCTGAAACGCTGTGCCGAGTGCTTAGTGCAGTGAGACAAAAAGCATAAATAGGGACACCGGGCTGGCCCAGTCCATAGAGCATGCGACTCTTGACCTCCAGGTCATGAGTTCAGGCCCCACGTTGGGCATAGAGCTCACTTTTAAAAAGAAAAAAACTTTTTTAAGCATAAATCTTGTGCTTCCACCCATATGAGGTTACCTAAAATCCGTGTATTCATAGAGACAGAAAGTAGAATAGAGGTCAGCGTGTATGGGGACGCACTGCTTAGTGGCTACCACGCTTCTCTTTGTGAGGCTGAGAAAGCTCCAGAGAAGGATAGTGCTGATAACTGCACAGCAGCGTGAGTGTATTTAATGCCCCTGACCTTTAAAAATGGTTAAAATGGTGAATTTTGTCTATTTTAACAACTTAAAAATGCATGTGTGTGTATCCTAGAACATGCTTTAAATGTTGCTATTACACATTTGATTTGGAGAACAATAATAATTTTGTACTGTTGGAATGCTTTTTACCACGTCCCCAGATGAAATTAGCAGAGACCCAGGTTTCTGTTCAATTCTTGCACCCTTCTCGGTGTGTCTTGCACAAAAGTCTTGCAGTGTTTGACCACAGCGTCATCCCTCTGTTTGTTTTTAGGAGATGGAGGTATGTTACCCAGCTAGCAGTGGCTGACCGTGTGAATGGCTTAGCGCGGTGGAAATGGCTGCAGGCATTTTGTGGTGTTCTGGTAGGCCCTCTTATTCTTCAGCTTTGTTTTCACTTGCACTTTGTTTGTTTAGAATTTGTCGAAGTAATTTCCTTACCAAAGAATGACCTGCTGAAGAGACTTGATGGTAAGCATTAAGACTATTCCCCAACTTCCTCAATTTTCCCCAGCCCCAGCCCCATCCAGTGGGGCACTAAATAGAATTCCCCTTCTGTAAATACAGTCTTCCTCAATAAAGTCAAATACCTAGAAACTGTTGTACAGCTGCAATTCACCAAGAGTAATTTTCCTTTCTGGGTGGCATAGAGTTTGAAAATGTAAGCAAAACATTCTACGTCAAGTGAAAGCTTTCAGTAGGGTGGATTTTTTTTTTTTTTCCTATAGAAGAGTCAGGATCATATTCCTACATATTTGCCAAAACTCTATACCTCAAATCTCTAATCCAGGGCAATGCAGAGGCCTAAGTAGGTATCTCTTAGCTGACCCTCAAAGATGCTAACCTGCTGGATGGTTCTCTGTGCAGGGTTGAAGTTAAAGGAGAATGTAACAATATTCCTTCTACAAAGATGGAGGTATATGAAGAGCAATATGCCAATATAATGAATCAGACTACCACTGTGACCCCTAGTAAATCACTGGTCATGTAATTACATCGTGTAATTCTTGGTCAACCCATCTCCTAGAGATCTGGTAAAAAATTAAGATTATGTGGACAAACGTCCCCTGATAAAGCCACAGTAGGATGTACTGTACTGGAGACAGACAGAGGCCCGGCTGGGAGGGCCCCATTCACTCATTTGTAAAGAAACAGATAATCTTCCTAATTTGAATGTTTTTTAAAATTTTTACTTCAAAAAGTAACTTGAAGCACTGTTTGACCTGAGGCTTTGAGGGCTCTCTCTTCCTCTCCTTCTATAAGAACCACTGGCTTACAGTTTTATTTCTGATGTCTGTGTTGTTTTAGAAGTAAGCATGAGCTTCCAAAAACGACTGTGATTTCAGAATTCCCAGAATGCACCCCTTCCTACTTTATGTTTTTTAAAAACTAGACCTGAGGGGCGCCTGGGTGGCCCAGTCGTTCAGCGTCTGCCTTCGGCTCGGGTCACGATCCCAGGGTCCTGGGATCGAGCCCCGCATCGGGCTCCCTGCTCTGCGCGGGGAGCCTGCTTCTCCCTCTCCCTCTGCCCCTCTGCCCCTCCCCCAGCTCATGCTCACTCTCTCTCTCTGTCAGATAAATAAATAAATAAAATCTTCAAAAAAATAAGATAAAAAAATAAAAACTAGGCCTGAGGTAAAACTAGGCCAGGGTCTCAGATTAGAAACGCTCACACCGAAGCAAGCCACGGTTTACTTAGAGAACACTGTAGCTGCCAGTAACGGACAGCACAACTCGGAGTCTGTCGCGTCTGCCTGGGTCCCCTCAGCTGACCGTGTATCAGTCACGAACCAGAACCCGTTTCGCAGCCTCTCCCGGCTTTTCTCCTAAAACAGGACGAGAGGTAGCCCCCGTCTCTGAGGAGGCAGCAGTAAAATTAAACAAGATAATGTTGGCACTAAAGGGCTTAAATGTTAGATGCCGTATGTCTTTGAGAAGTATTCTCTCAAAGAACTAACTTCCTTCTCCCTTCCGTCCAACTTCACCTCCGTCTTGCCTTAGAGGAGGGGAAGACAGAGACAGATCTGTAGAAAGAGGAAGGGGGAAAAGAACCCTTTTTCCTAGCTTTATTAGAATCAAAATACAGCAATCAAACCATTTATTCAACAAGTTAACATTTGGGAAGGTATTTTGAGTTGTTTGCTCTGAGGAGTAACTTTCAACACTTACCAAGCACCTGCCACAAAGAGGAGGACCTAACCCTGCCTTCCAGGATCAATACATCTCCCAGCATGTTCCTGCACTAGTGGCTAGGAAAACAAGTGACAGAGGCCAAGTCTGATCACCTCCACCAGAGCGACACAGAAGTTTCTCGTTAAAGCCCACTGTACAGCGTAAGATTCTGAGACGTCATTCTTTAAAAAAAAAAAAAAAAAAAAGATTTTATTTATTTGAAGAGAGAGAGTAAGCACCGCCAGGGGAAGGGAGAGGGGGAAGCAGACTCCCCGCCAAGGAGGGAGCCCGATGCGGGGCTCGATCCCAGGACCCCGGGATCATGACCTGAGCCGAACGCAGACGCTAAACCAACTGAGCCACCCAGGTGCCCCTCAGACCTCATTCTTGCTCGAATTCCAGCCCTGTCGTGCACACAGCTTAACTTGTGGATAGAAAATACGTATTCCCTAGCGGTGGAGAAGACAGATGAACCCCTCTATGAGGGACTGAAGAATCACCACTGAGCCCTAGAACGAGCTATAAATAAACAAATCTATCTACAAACTTAGAACGTTGCTGTTTTAACATATAAAATCATCTCAAATGTGTGATCTTCTGCCTTTATGCTTTTTTCTTGTTCTTGTCTCTCGCTGGAACTGTAATCCTGCTTATATATTCTTTCATCTTCTATCTCACTAGAGTAAGATCCTTGAAGGCAGAAAATGTCTTGTTCACCACTTTACCTCTGGCATCCGGCACAGGACCTGGCACATAGTAGTAGCTCAGTAAAGACGGGCTGATTGATAAGGGGCATTGTCCTTGATTAACTTCACTATCTAACTTGTATCCTTTGCTTCCTCTAGCTCTGGTAGCTGAAGAACATCTGACCGTGGACGCCAGGGTCTATTCCTACGCTCTGGCACTGAAACATGCAAACACGAAGCCGTTTGAAGTGCCTTTCCTGAAGTTTTAAGGCCAAAGGACAGTAGCCATGTTTTTATAAATAAAACCACCAGGCCTCCTTCACTAAGACTTTGTATTCAGCTTAGCTTACTGTAGACTTGAAATTAGCTTTTTTCATTAAATAAAAGCAACACAGAATACATGTGGTGATACGGAATTGTAATTACAGGGAGGCTGTAGTCTTCATTTAAATGCTAAACTCCAGCAAATAGTTATGAAAAAGAACATAAATGCAGGTACCCAGTTTTTAATCCAGTTTAAAGTTCAGCTGTTCCTTATCTAATCTACTCCCAACAGGATATTTCTAGAAGAAAAATGACCTGAATTCCAAATTCGGTCAATTATTCCCACCCTCAGCCCCCATATAAACGTCTGTAACGAGGTATGCAAATAACTATCTACTATGTCAGTGTTTGAAACAAAGTTTTTTGGTTTTTTTTTTTTAAAGACGGGCCTATACAGGGACTTTCTTGGTCCTCCTCCTAATTACCCGCTAGAGCAGGGTGTAAAATCACCAGAGAGTAACATTTCATGAGAAGCAAATGTTTACATTTGGCTAGTGTCCTCCTACCACCTAACTACTGAAGGTAAACAAGCTGTTAGGTAATGAAAAATGATTGATTCCATTCAGTATAACAAGGTTAATAAGAAGCTAATGAAAATACAGGGCCCTTCCCTCAAGCAGGTGTATATACTTTAGAATTTCATTTCCTATCCTTACCTCAGGAAGTACTTCAAGTTTCTAAAACCAAATCCATTTACGTGGCTGGGGGGCATCACTGTCTTGGTGTTGAACCTGGAGTGTAGCCAGCAAGGTCAGCAAATACCAGAAACCCAGTCCAGCTATCTTACAGGGGAGAACAGGGCCACTGTCTCCAGCTCAGGCCATGCCTAAAGCCCCCATCATCCAAAAGGTCTACCAGTGGTCCTGGGCCGTTTCCTCATCTCTTGGCTGAGCTCGGCCCTTGTGTTGACTTCTGTGGCCTCCAGCGGCTCCAGAACGATCTTGCTGGATCGTTCTGGAGAGCCCCCACTGGAAGTCTCAGAGTGCTGCTCCCTGGCCAGCCTGAAATCGGGGCTCAGGCCCCTCAAACCAGATAAAACCAGGATATGGATGCCAGGAACGCTGTAATATAGTTCATTTGTCTACAGCGTCACTGTGTATTCAGTGTATCACTGTGTTCATCTCGGTATCGAGACATGTTTTTGTGAGCAAAAATACAAGATCTATTAGACTTCTAAACAAAGGAGGAAAATATGGAACTGGAGAACTGTCTAGATTAAGTCTACTCTGTAAATATTGCAAAAATTAGGCCCCTAACTACTTGCTCTAATAGTAGCCTTCCCCTGTGCCCCTAACCTTTTAAAAAAATCCTTATTTTTAGTCCTAGGCATCATGATTCTCCAGAGATCTTACTCCTTCTCCCTGAGCTCCCAAAGGCCAAGTTCTATAATCTCCCCCGTTACTGCCCTCCTTCAAAAATCAAGAAACAGACGGCATATGGAAAATATACAGACTCAGGCACAGACCAGTCTCCGAACAGACCAGCTCTTCCAGAGCCACTCCCAAGAACTGAGAAACCTCCTTTTACATGTTGGTGGAAGAGAGATCTGTATAACCCCCACCTGTCCTTTCTTTTTCTCTTCCCAAGAATGCAAATTAGAAGTGACAGCTAAATCCTAGAACACACCCCTAATGCCCTTTATATTAACCTTTAAACGTCCAAGGCTGTACTTGGGAAGTCAGGTCAGTTCAAGAGCCAGCAGTCTGGATGTTTCCCGTGGCTCGCACTGGTCATTCAAGAACATTTGAAAGTTCAAGCTTTCCCATAAAAAGCCCTATTTCCACCTTCTCTTGGGGAAAAAAAAAATCATGTATGACAACACTGGGTCCACATTTCTATGGTCACAGTGGTCTGAGGCCCTGAGGAGAGAGCCTCCAGATGACCACTGTTCTGTCCTGCAGGTTCTGTTTTATCTGTCTCCCTGTAGCCATTTGGCTTTGTGATCCGGCCTAAATAAGATGTACTTCCTGCACTTACTAAGAAAGTAAGCAATGGAAACCCTTACTTCTGAAAAGGATCTTTCAAAAATGAAGTGTGATCTCTTTGTGGCCAACAGAGCACACAGTTTAAAAAATTATAAAGAGCTATGCTACTTCGGATGGAGACTGGGATGTTACCTGAGACTGCTGTTTTCCTATTTTTTCCAGTGTCAGTCGCATAACTGAGCACCTTTAAAAAGCTGGTCCCTGTTCCTCAACAGGTCTAGGATTAAACGCTAAATTATAATTACGTTTGACCTCTTGCCACAACCTCTCAGGATGGGTTTTGTAGGATTACGATGAACCTATACAAATAATCTTAGAAATCATTTAATATCCGATTTTATTTTTCCAACACAACTGAAACAGTTTTATTAAATAAAGTTTTATTTTCTACTGTTTACACCCATGTTGCTGCTGTCACGTACAACAACGTACACAAATTCCTAGCATGAATTACCCATTGTTCACCCCCCACTGAACCACAGACATTGCGTGAGAATTAGAGCTTTGCTTTAGGGATTTAAAAAAAAAAAGAAAAGAACTGGGGCATCGTATCTTGAAAGAATATTCTCAAGTGATGTGTTGGAATTCAAAGGCATAGCCAATACAGTAAAACAGCACCGACTGCTGTCACTGGGAAGAAAGGAATGAAAACCAGGAGGAGTAATTATACAAGCAGGGGTTTCTAGGACCTGCTGGAACTGAAGCTCCATGGGGGGGGGGGGCCATGTGGGCTGAGGGGCAGCCCTGAGAGGGGCCAGGTCGGGGGGGGGGGGGGGGGGGGGGAGAGGGGGTGGGACCATGGATACAAGGAGTTAAAAAAGTATAAAAAGTTAATTATATCTAAAATACAGATTAGATACAAATGTTCCAGAACTCATTAAATAAGCTCAAAAATACTGGAAAAGTGGCAATTTGAACTACATTTATTTTTAAACAAGTGGGGGGAAGAGAGTGTTCTGAATGTTGTGTGCAAAACCGATCCACACCACCGTCTCGCCGGCACAAGTGAGCAGGGCACGGCAGCTACACTGCTTTCCAGCATCACAGGCAACACTACAGGGACATTTTCAAACGAATAATGTAAACTTTAGTTTTAAGGCAGCTGGTACTCATGCTGCACACAGGCTCAGCTCGGCGCCCATTTCACAAATGGGCCAGTGAGCACGTGAACACAAACTGTGAGGGAAGGAAAGGGGAACCAGCATTACTGGACAAAAACATTGTGTCAAAAGTATTTTCCCTTTCACACACACAAGAAGAAATGTTGGAACATTTAGAAAAACAAAGCACCCATCCCACCGACTTCAGCCTGTTCCTTGACAAAAATTTCAAAATACTGATAAATAATAGTGACCGCAAGCAGGATGCCAGTGCCAGAGCCGATGGCCCCGAGGAAGTCGGCTAACACCGACAGGGCGCCGATGCACAGGCCACCAAACGCGGCCGCCGTGGGGATGTACCTGCAAGACAGAGCCTCAGTCAGCCAGCGCGGGGACACGGGAGGGGACACGGGATGCCGGTGTGTCATCGACACACTACACCAGTGGGGGGGGAACGACCGTCTGCAGGGATGGCGTGCGTGTCCCACACAGTGCTGACATGCTGGTGGAGACTTTGTGACTCAGGGAAGGACGGGACCCCGATTTCCAGAAACCAGTCAATAGCCAAGAAAAGCAATACGTGATTTTTATGGCAGAAGGCTGGAATCTTCAACAGTTTTAAGTATTAAAATATGTACTACTTTAAGTAAGTCATCTTTAGCTCACTCTTGTAGATGAAGAGTAAATTTCAAAATGCTTTTTAAGTATCAAATTTACATGACAAGATATGGATGATCCTCTTTTACAGTAACTCAATCTTGGCTGCACGTTTAGAATCACCTGAAGAACTCTTAAAAAACAATGGGACTGTGTTTAAAATACTCCAGAAAGAAGGCGGGAGAAAGCCTGGGGGAGATGGAGGGTGAACAGAGATGGCAGAATGAGGCTAACCACGGAAGCCAGACACAAGCTGGGTACCCGGAGGTTCGCTCGACTACTCTCGGCAACCTATGTGCGAAATAAACAAAAAAGTTCACATAAAAATACAAGTGCCTCTCAACCAATGGCTCTGGAACTGGATATCCACATGCACAAAAAGAAATCTGGATCCCTGTTTCACACTAAACACAAAACAAATTAGCTCAAAGCGGTTCAAAGACCTGAATGTAAGAGCCGAGACTCCTAATGGAAAACAAGAATAAATCTTTGTGACCTTGGTTTCCTACGTAAACACTAAGAGCAGTGCAAAGCAACCAAGAGAAACCGAACTTCATCTAAATTAATAACTTGTGCATCAAAGGACACCAAGAAAGTGAAAAGACAACCCACAGAATGGCAATAAAATATTTATAAATCATATACCTGAGAAGAGACATATCCAAAATACCTTTTTTTTTTTTTAAGAATCTTACAACTCGGTAACAAAAAGACAATATGATTAAAAACAAGGAAACGATCTGAAAAGACATTTCTCCAAAGAAGATACACAAATAGCTAATTAAACGCATGAAAATATGTTCAACGTCATTACTCATCAGGGAAATGCAAATCAAAGCCACCAAAAAGCTGCCACTTCCTACCCATGAGGTGGCTTTAATCAAAAAGCAAGAAGTAGTGCTTGCAAGGATGTGAACAACTGGAAGCTTCATCTACTGCTGGTGGGAATGCAGACCGGTACGGTCACACTGGAAAATAGCTGCCGGTTCCGCCGTATGTTAAACACAGAGTTACTAGATGACCCAACAAAATTCCACTCCTACAGCAATGAAAACATGGCCACACAAAACGTGTACAAACATGTTCTTAATAGCGTTACTCCTGATAGTCAAAAACTGGAAACCACCAAAATCTCCATCAACTGATGAATGGATAAACAAATGTGATTTAGTACATCCATACGATGGAATATTGTTCACAAATAATGCATGAACCCTGAAAACTTTACGCCAAGTGAAAAAAGCTCTTCACCAAAGATCACAAGTCCATTTATATGAAATGTCCAGAAGAGGCAAATCTGTAGAGATCAAAAGTGAAAAGTTGGCTCGGGGGTGGGAGGTAACATAGGAATGGGGAATAACCAATAGGTACAAGGTGTCTTTCTGGGTGATGAAAATGCTTCTGGTTTGTTTTTTAACTTGGGTTGTGTTTTGCTTTGTTTTTAGTACTCTCTACACCCTATGTTGGGCTCAAACTCACAACCCTGAGATCAAGAGTCTGACACTCTTGGGAGCCGGCCAGGCACTCCGGTGACAAAAATGTTTTTTAAATTACATTGTAACGATTACACACTCTGAATACACTAAAAACAAAAACACTAAACCATGTAATTCAAATGAATGAATTACATGGGATGTGAATTATAGCTCAATAAAGCTGTTATCAAAAAATAAACTAATGATGGGATCCACCCTAGACCAAATAAATCACAATTCCTAGAGGTGGAACATCAGAACTTTTTAAAAGCTCCCAGGTGATTTTATGTGCAGCCAGACAACAAGGACCTCCAATCAGGAACATTTTGAATACTGGGCTGAGCAGTGAAGGGAACATAATTTTAAAAAATAATTTAGATGTCAACTTTGATGGGGAATAATTTTAGAGAACAATTCAGTATTGTGTTAAATTTTGCTTCTTCTGTGTAAAGTAGAAAAAAGATGCTTCATATTCAAACAGGATAACATGTGACAAAGATTGAAAAACCAAACACATGCATACGTACGTACACACACACACACACACACACACACACACACACACCCCAAGGATTAAATCTCATGACCTTACCTATTAAGTTCATGAACCATAGAGGTATCTCTGTGGCCCCTCATTACCATTTGCTGTTCTTTAAGCTGCTTAGCTACCTGCCAAGAGAAAAACAACTTATAAAATCAAACTATAAATATTTCACTGTTTACTACCTACCAGGTTCTGTGTGAAGTGGCTTTCCACACACCAGTAAATCAAAGATGAGACCATTAAGTAAGCACTGTCATATCATTCCCATTACACCCGAGGCTCAATGTTGCACACCACCTATTACCCACACATTAAACCAGTGTTTCTCAACCTTTTCCATTTTTCACCTCCCTAAACAGAAATTAAACACTAAGGAATAAGAATTTGTTGGGTAGGGTTCAGCTTTGGAGGGTTCACAAACCACTGTAAAAATCTAAGAATTTTTCCACCTTCCAGAAACCAGTTTTTGACCCCTCAGGGGTGATATTACCTCATTATTAAGAATGTATGACTTAAAAGTTTACATTATAAAAGTAATTAAAAGTGTTTCAATTCCCATTTTGAAAATAAAAATGTTTATTTTCAAATAAAATAAATACTTACATCTTTGGCTGAGGAACCAGACACCTCTATCCATGTCTTAGAAAAGAATGCACATGATCCCAACATGAAGATGATATAAACCACCACATGGACAGGATCCTCAAATATGGCGCCCATGGACTCGGGAGGAGAAAGATAGTAGCAGAGGCCTCCCACCGGGTAAGAACGAGCAGGTCCTCCCCCACTGACATCCTACATAACAAGAATAAAAAGAATAGATGGTGAACCCAACTGGTCTAGATACATTTTTATATGACTTTTCAAACTCCTCAGAAATTACAACAATGCTTTAAGCTCAAAGCACCTACAGCTAACAAGTCTATGGAACTTAAAGATTTACTTTTGTGTCTATTATCTTCACGCCTTCAAAATTACATAGTGAGCATCTATTATATAAAAGACACTGTGAATCTATTAACAGAAGAGTGATCTTTTAAAAACCAACATTATAATACATTTACCAAAAAAAAAAATCTCTCTTTTCCTAAAGACAGTAATATCATTACATTTATTGTCAATCTCTGATCACATTTAGAATCTGAAACTTTCTGCACTTTAACTATACAAGAGTATGCTCCATATCTTTTCACTTCAAAGTATTCTATGAAGAATACAATCAATTGAAATATTGACAGACGACTAACAACTCACTGCCTAAACTTCTTATGTTTTGTGTAAGAAACAGTCCTTTACTAAATATTTATCATAGGATTTTTAGCCAGACAAACATTTAAGAATTTTTATAGTAACAGAACTGGGAACAGTGTAAATTCTGGGGCACAGGGAGTGTGAAAGCAATTTCTGGCTGCAATGATTACAAGGTCTAGTTCCTGAATATATATTTCAAACTGATTTCCTTACTGTGCCCCTAGAATCACTAATCCCCAATCAAAAGTACTCTTTATAGACGTAATTCAACTTCCCAGTAATTCTCTCATTAAAAAGGAACTTAGTTAAGATCACAACACAATCTATATACAGCCACTGAATGTACTTATTGCTATGAAATTATTACAGTAATAATTACTGATGGATTATTAGCTTACAAAGGGAGGGACCGCATCTTCCCTCATCACAGGCAATCACATTTCTGTTACATGAGCAGAGAAAGAGTACTGTGGATAAAGGGAATCCTATCTCCTTCAACTAACACTCAAGAGTACTGTCTTATCCTGTTAAACTTAAAAAAAAAAAAAAGGGGGGGGAGTCAGAAAGTGCTGGATTCTATTTCTGGTAACTCTATGCTCTCTCCAGTATAGTAATCACAGGCCTGTCTCTAGCCCTGTTAATCACAACTGGTTTATTGCCACCCAGGCCATGAAAGATGGGGGTAAAACGTCTTTCCAAAAAATTATAAACTCTGCGACAGGGAAGTGAATCTGAACATGTTATAGCAACTGCTTCAATTATGGCTCATCTCTTTCCGTTAAAAATATAACCATGAAATGGAAATTACAATAAATACAAATGCTTAGAATAAATAAAATACTCACAGCCCACTGTCCTAGTAAATTTACTAAAAAGTTGCCACTAAATCGAACAGACAGCATCTGGGAAATAACATACAGGTTTGACACTAAGGCCGACTGGAGAATAATGGGAATGTTCGAGGTGTAGAAGAGCTTGATGGGATAGCTACTGTACTGTCCTCGATACCGGGCCGACTTGATGGGCAAGTCAACACGAAATCCCTAAAAAATGAAAATGAAGAGGAAGTAAGAGTGAGTGCACATCTCAAGTAAAGAACCCAGATGACAGGCAGAACAATACACTGGGGAGTGTGAGAAGCAACGCTAACATTTTCCCTGCAGCCACCCCCCCACGCACACACGCACACACAGAACTCCTGTTCTATGCCATCACCACCAATATTTTGCACCTCACAGTCAAAAGAACAGAATTATTTGCTTGACTAGATTCTGCAACACTGACTTGTTAGATACTGACATTTCAAATGGCATTCTTTTCTTCAAGAGCACAACAAAAATCCACCTTCCGCCGACTTCGGTGAAAAAAGTATACGTACCTGAAAATATATAACAACGGCGAACACAAAAACCGTAGCAATGAGGTTCATGAGATTGGGTAAGTTCTGACGATAGAAAGCCTCCCGTAAAGCGCGGACCTTGTCTGTCCTGGTGGCCAGTAAGTGAAAGAGTGCTATGACTGCACCCTCAAACTCAGTACCTGATAAATCAAGAGAGAAAGTCGCTGTAGACTCTTTCCCCAAAGCTGTCCCGAAGATCAAACAAATAACCTTGAACCTCCAGTACATGGCAGAAAATAGGAGTCAAAATCATTCATCGATGTTGACTTTATAATACAGCCATGTGTGGAGCTTCCAAAAATCTTCACATCATTGAGGCAAAAATATCTTTTTTATTAGCACGAATCTCAAGTTTTCTCAAGAGACTATTCTTGATGAAAACAGCCAAAGTAGAATAAACCTAAGCAAATATTTAGGTCATAATGATTTGCCTCTCCTTTACTTTGGGGAAGGGAAAGGAGTATTTTTAAGGAGGGGGGAAAGCAACAGCAAAGCAGAACAAAGATGTCAGACTCAAAAGATCTATGTCACTCTCTCGAGCTGGCTTTTGTTTTACCAAGAATACTAGTAAACCATCGTTGCTCTTTTCTTAAGGCTGGGATCAGTTTAGACGTTAACTGTTATGGAGCCTGGATGGCATTTGAGATAAACGGAGATGGGTAAGGGGAAAGACAGAATGCAGGATTTCAAAATTTAGTTGCTATTACAAAGCCAAGGAGAATAGCAGCAAAAGTATTAGTGCTCCCTGATGATACAATAAATAACAGCGTTTTCATTTGAAAAATCTTAATCCACTACCTTTTTATTCCCCTGGGAATGCGGAAATCGGTCAATGACTTCTGCAGCAGTGGCTTAAGTAAGTAACATTTTAAAAAGCTGTTTGCAACCACTGAAATTTTCAATGAGCAGAGGCTAAGACTTAGATATAATTCTTTCTGAAGTACTGTTTCATACTCCACAAATCTCTGCTGCTTAACTCTTGAGCAATTAGCATCAGGTGTCCCCTGGGACAGCAAACCAGGATGTTTACAGGCATGTCCTGCTCCGTGACGGGTTACTTTCCAGCACACATCCAGCAAAACTCGTGCAGTTGCAGTCACTGTGCAATGTACCTCTGCCAGTGTTAATAGTAGTGGGACTAAAGGCCTTCCAGACAATGGTTTCACAGATGTTGGTGGCAATAAAGAGGGAAATACCAGACCCCAAGCCGTAACCCTTCTGTAGCAGCTCATCTAACAGCAGCACAATCAAACCAGCAACAAACAACTGTGGGGAAAGAAATGCAAGTAAGCTGAAGCAAGAATAAACTCAAGAAAGGGGAAGAGGAATACCATTGACTACTTGCAAAGTATGGGCATTTTTAATACTAAAACCTAATTGTTGCAATATCACTGTTAGGATTCTGCATCTTTTTAAACCCCACTTTAGTCAGAAGTCAGCTCTGCAAGTCAGAGGGGTGGAAAAATTGCTACATCATAAAGCAGACATTTCAACCTTTAAAGCACATTTATAAACCATCTGAATAGTTTCTCTTACAATGTTTAAGTAAGGCCTACTGAAAAGCGCACTAAAAAATGTTCAAACTTGTTCAATTTAGGACAGCAAAAAACTGAAAACATTCCAAGTAGTTCCAAGGAAGTGAAAGACCAAATGAAATATGGTATAATAACAAGACACAATTGTATACTGCCACTAAAGGAAAAGTATGTAAACTAGGCTGAGACATTTTTAAGGTATTCTATGTAATACTTTAATACATTACATATACAGTTACCACTGAACAACACAGGTCCAGATATACACAGATTTTTTTTTTCTAAATACTATAAATGTATTTTCTTTTCCTTCTGATTTTTTTAATAATCTTTTCTCTAGCTTACGATATCATATAAATATGGTATATAACATACAAAATGTGAGTTAACTGGCCATTTATGCTATCGACAAGGCTTCAGGTGGGCTGTTAGTAGTTAAGTTTTGAGGGAGTCAAAAGTTATATGTGGTTTTCAACTGCATGGGGGGTGGTCAGCGCCCCAACACCTGTGTTGTTCAAGGGTCAACTGTAATATATAGAGAGAATAAGTCAAAAAGAGCACAAATTAATATGTACAGAGATTATAACAAAGTCAAAAATGCACTCCATACCCACAGTGACAAAGATTGAAGGTAAATGTGAAGACAAGGATTTGCCAGGTTCTTAAGCTCATCCTTTTTTAAAAATAAAAGCATACTAAGTTTAATTTATGTGAAATTGAAAATTCTTAATTTTCCTCTTGGAGAAGACATTTCCGTAAAAGTATGCACCAATTAAAAACAACCCATAGCCTGGCAAGTGACCTCCACAGTCATGTCTTCCCTGCACTGCAGTAACCTAATCAAGAGGGGAAGAAAATATGCTTCTACACCTCCAACCTCACACCTGTCCCCATTTTAAAAACCCCATCCTACGTAAGTGAGGAAATGCCACCTCCATTCTGCCCAGCTCTGAAGCCTCCCACCTTCTTACTCAGCTTACCTGACATCCCCCATTACAAAAGAGAGCAAACAAGCTACAGTCCACCATTTTAAGCATGCTTACCTTCTGCAGAGGTTTTTTTTTCCTTAACTGTCATTTCAGTGGTTGTACAGAGCCTAAATGGTCTATTAGTCTTTTAGTTTGATTTTCAAAGGATTGGAAAAAGGGTACAATTCTTCAAACTTCTAAGAGTGCTCATGAATCCTTTTACTGTTTGAAAACCAAGTTTAACACTTTGACAAGATAAAAGAGAAGTTAGGCCTTACTACTGAGATTTTATTTTGACCACAATTATGTATTAAGTAAATAAATACTCCCAATCAGAAAACCAAATTTGTGCAGGGAATAATAGCTGTCCACAAACTATCAGCCCACCAAAAAGTCTGATCACGGGCTTCTGATTAAATGACCTGTCCAGAGTCATAAGTCATTCTGAAATACCTGTAATTCTCCAAACCCCCTGTTCAGACCAATTAACCATCAGACTACAGGGTGATTCATGTATGTCCTGCAAAAATCAAAACTCATATTTTTCTAACTGGCATAGAGAAGTCTAAATGAGAAATGGTTTCTATAATCAAAAGAGTAAGATAAAAGACAGTAAAAAGCATGTGAACTATGCCTCCGAGGGAGGAGACACTGAGAAACCAGGAAGTTACAGCATCTCGTTGACTACAACAGTGAGGGAGACTGAATGCTAACTGCATGCGCTTGTGGAATGTGCCATACCTATAAATCTCTAAATTAGGCACAAAAATAGCTCTACATTTCAACTCTGCTTGTGCATGCGCGCGCACGCGCGCACACACACACACAATTGGACAAAACAATACTTACCTTTCCTACGTACCATGCACACTGATATTTTCTACTCTGTTATTTTAATCAAGACCCACTATCTAGATTTCAAATCTCACTAGTTCCAAGACATGACCACATGAAGGAAACAAGAATAATTAAGGTGAGAAATACCTTACCTAACAGCATGCAAACAGTTTTCAAAGTCTATGTTTCTGGGTGAAACACACTGATCCAATCATCTCTCTTCAGTGTATCCACATATTTTCAATGTTAGCAATGCCTTAAAAGACACACTACCCACCTATGATCAAACACATTTCTCTATACGTTAACACTGAAAGAATTAACCACAAGTATTTGTATGCCAGAATTTCTGTAAAAAAAAAAAAGTATATATATATCCATTTATTTCATTCCTGGAATATAACTATTCCTTGACCTCTGATACTGGGGGAAAAAATTAAAATAGCTTAACTCTGTTTTTATCTCAAATTCAAATTTGTAACGACTCCACAGGAGTCAACGCTTTAACCCAAAATTGGTCCGATGAGGTTCTTCAAATACCTTACTAAAATACTAGAAAAAGTGTACTGGAGCGTAATGTTCTAAGAGCTAGGTGCCAATTCTGTCTTTTTAACAATCAGGGTTATTCTGGGGGCGCCTGGGTGGCTCAGTTGGTTAAGTGTCTGTCTCTGGCTCGGGTCATGATCCCAAGGTCCTGGGGCTGGGCTCCCTGATAGGCGGGGGTCTGCTTTTCCCTCTCCCTCTGCCCCTCCCCCCTGCTCATGCTCTCTCTCTCCCCTCCTCCCTCTCGCTCAAATAAATCTTTAAAATATATATAAATAAAAATCAGAGCTATTCTGAACTACAGGTTGCATAAAGCAAAGGCTATTATAAAGAAACAAAGTAAGGCAACAATTGATGCATTGGTATCGACAATGACAAAAGCATGTGGAGAGATCCTAAGCACTGAAAGACATCCAAATCACTTTTCAGAGGATCTTCTCTCCCCAAGCCACTGCAACTCTTCTTCCTCTAATTCTCAAAGGTTATAAATTTGCCAATCAAGGTTTTTTTTTAAAATGGAGAAATAAGGACAACGTTATGGGAATTCACTAGGGCTCAGAAACCTACCAAAGACTGATAACCCACTAAAAATTCCTCACCTGGTCAAAAGACAAAATATTTCCATCTAGTTAGAGGAGCCCCCCCTTGTTGTTAATGATACCAATAAATAATTCAACAACCCAATTCTCCTTGCTCTAATCATACTCACTACATGATCTTATTTTGATCTGCTTCCTATATAAGGTTTCTCATTAAAAAAGGATGGTCAACCTTGCCAATCTGAAATGGTCCCATTTCTCAATGTATATATTAATAAGTTGGTATTTCACTTTTATAAAAATATTTTTCCAAAATTAATGCTTTGACCATTAAAGTTCCTGGGGCGCCTGGGTGGCTCAGTCGTCAAGCGTCTGCCTTCGGCTCAGCTCATGATCCCAGAGTCCTGGGATCGAGCCCCCATCGGGCTCCCTGCTCAGCAGGGAGTCTGCTTCTCCCTCTCCCACTCCCCCTGCTTATGTTTCCTCTCTTGCTGTGTCTCTCTCAGTCAAATAAATAAATAAAATCTTTAAAAAAAAAATGTTCCTAAGTGAATCCTAATTTCATAGAGTGAGCAAGAAGAGGCATTTCCAAAACAACAAGGACTCTAGATGCCGTGTTTATCAAACTTCTTTTCAAAATCCCATAAATAACTATTACATAACGTAAGTACAATCCATTCTTGGGTAGCTTCTCTAAATGATTTTTAAGGATCGTACATTAGAAAAATATCTTCTAAATTTGACACACTTTGAGATACTTAGTACAGGGATAATTATGTTGGACTTTAAAAGTTCAGTTCCGAAGGGTCTATTTTAAAAATCCATGGAATATATGTATACAGGTTCATGTGTTTTACTAGCTGTGAGATATTATTTGTAATGCCATTATTTTGTATACCACTAACAAGGAAAAAAAATACTGCCAATTAAACCATGACAGTAACTTATCACAAAGAATTTTTATTTTCCACTTACAAAGAAAATATTTTAGACCTACACACAGATTTTATCATCTAGCCTGTTCTGTGCCTTTGCGTACACACAGTGACTGTTCCATAACAAACCAGAGACTTCTGCAGACATTTTAAACAGCAACTAATCTCAAAAACATGTTACACCAACAATGCACATAACCAGTTGATGCAATGAACATGTGAATAGCTCTAACCAGCTGACACACATATGCAGACAATGACTCCTATCACGACTGCTGCCTGGCTGACAACAAACGTGGGGCACTATCCGCTATAAGAAAAAACATCCTGGGCGCCTGGGTGGCTCAGTCGCTTAAGCGTCTGACTTCAGCTCAGGTCATGAGCCCAGGGTCCTGGAATTGAGCCCCGTATCGGCTCCCTGCTCAGCGGGGAATCTGCTTCTGCTTCTCCCTCTCCCTCTGCCCCCTCCCCTGCTCCTGCTCTCTCTCACCCTCAAATAAATAAAAATCTTAAAAAAAAAAATCCTGGTCCCAGAAACATCAAAAAGTAAAAAATGTGCATCTAAGAATCAGTGAAATACAGCTGATCCATAATTCCTTATACTATGCAGCAATCAGGCTACTAACACAAATTTTAATTTTTTTATATCAACACAATTTATACATGTCACTTCAACAATCAAAATCTTATAATTAAATAATTCAAAAGCAAGAAAACTAATGTATCAACCACTTAAAGAGTTGTTAGAAAAGAAAAAAGGGATCAAATTGTTTTGTTATCTGCAGATGAAAAACTGGATTTCTTACCTGAATAATGATAAGGAGACAGATGCCAGCACCCATTTCAGCAGGATCCCCATACATGCCCGTCATGACATACACAATGGCTTGCCCAATGGTAATGATCATACCAAATACTGACAAAAATTGGGGGAAAAGGAGTACATGCTTACAACCAAAGACAAGAAAGACTAGAAAAATATCTTTACCACAAAATTCTCAAATTTGGAAAAGACTCTTTAAGTGTATTAATAGCTCACGTTTCTGGGCTCCATTGAATAGAGCTCTATCTTTGGGTGTGTCTCCAACTTCAATGATTTTGGCTCCAGCCAACAACTGCATAATCAAACCAGATGTTACAATTGGGGAGATACCCAATTCCATTAAAGTTCCTGTAGAGGAGAAGGAAAAAAGTAAATAATCTTTACTATAACCAATGCAGATTAGTTTACAAGTGTTGCAATCCTTCATTATGTCTATTAAAACACATGCTCAAATGTTAATAGGCACATATTCATTCTTTAAACACTGATTAACACATTTATTTACTTTTTTTTTTAAGATTTTATTTATTTATTTCAGAGAGAGAGAGCATGAGAGGGGGTTGGACCAGAGGGAGAAGCAGACTCCCTGCTGAGCAGGGAGCCGGATGCAGGACTCGATCGCGGGACTCCAGGATCATGACGTGAACCGAAGGCAGTCGCCCAACCAACTGAGCCACCAGGTGCCCTATTTACTTCATTTAATTTTTTTTTTAGATTTTATTTATTTATTTGACAGAGAGAGACAAGCGAGAGAGGGAACACAAGCAGGGGGAGTGGGAGAGGGAGAAGCAGGCTTCCCGCAGAGCAGGGAGCCCGATGCGGGGCTTGATCCCAGGTCCCTGGGACCATGACCCTGAGCTGAAGGCAGACGCTTAACGACTGAGCCACCCAGGTGCCCTATTTACTTCATTTATTAACACAACCTTGCAACAACTCATTGAGTCAAATTTACTATCCCCAAAAAAGGTAAATTTCTATAAATTCTAAATTTAAAATGTTAAATTCTTTGAAAGAAATCTTCCAAAATTTCTGTTCAAATCATTATTTTTAAAACTTACACTGAACATTTTATTTTAATGCAAAATAAGAAGTACATACCAAGCCTGAGAATTAAATACCAAGTTAATAAAAAAATGACATTTAAGAATATTTGTGACTCTTCTAATTCAAATTCTAAAATTACATAGAGAGTCATCTAAACCAATGTTGTAGAACATTTAGTGAGTGGCATGAAAAATGTTCATGACTTAGTGGATAGAAAAATAAAAAATTTGGAAAACAGTATTACAGTTAGATTTCAGTTAATACTTAGGTGGAAAAATAGTTTCCTGATATTTTAGTCAGGTTGTCAGGATACGGTTATTTTTACCCAGTGAGAATTATTTTTCTTATTTTTGCCTTTCTTGATTTTTTAAGTTTTTTTTTTTAACAGTGAAAAATATAGTAAAAAATAAGAAAACCAAATATGCCAGTGTACAAGTTAACATGTAAAACGAGTAATTCTACATCATCAAGAATATGTTTCCACTGGTCATTCTGTCGTACCACAACCTTAAATCCTGGCTTTATAAATGTTGAAAAAGTACCCTTAATATGAGAAGAGATTCCATCCTGGGAGGATTCTTCACGTCTTCTCAAATATTTCAACAGTAAAAAGTAACAACATTTCTTACTGTTAAAACCAGTAGGTAGAGAAGTAGGTAGGAAGGTAAACATTTTTTTTAAATCAAATCACAAAATTTTAACTGTCAAATGGATCTAGTCTGAGAATAAATACAGTCAAATACAGAATAAATACAGTCAAACTTTGATGACAATTTCATATAAGAAATATGGCACCTCAAATCAGTAAGGAAAAGGGTAAGTGGACCTCACCAAATGACTGGCCATTTGTAAAAAATTACACCTGCATTTCTTACCTCATGACTTACGTCAAAATAAAGGCCCGATGTATAGAAAATTTAACTATAAGAGACAAATGACAAAAATACTAGAAGTAAGTATGCTTATCATCTTGGAAAAGAAAAAAACTTCCTAAGCATGACAAAAAAAACCTAGAACCCACAATGAAAAAGATGGTTATGGTTAGATAAAACTACGAAAATCCCACGCACTAAAACACTGCATAAAAGTTTAAAAAAAAAAGGGGGCAGCATAAAAGTTAGAAGAAAACTACTTGAACACAAATGAGAGTTCCTATCTCCAATATGCTAAGAGTTCTTCCAGGATCAGTTAAAAATGAACAAACCAATAGGAAAAAGGAAAAAAGGAGAAAGAGAGAACACAGTATGGCTGCTCCCAGTGATGGTCTTTCTCAGGAAATACTGACAGTGCAGGAAGGGACCCCCACACCCAAATCTGAACTATGTAACCCTGACACTCTAACCAAAGCTGACTGAGCCCGGTGTAAATCCTGCAGTTTGGAATTCTGAGCTAAGAACCAAAGAACCCAGGAATTTGGGGAGCTAAATCCCAAAGAAAAAGTTGCCAATCCCTGCTGCCAATCTAAAGCTGCCCTGGTTTTCTCTCCCAGCCCAGGCTTAGTTGTTCTACCTCCTCTATGAAGTCCAAAAAATGATCACTACCTTTCTAATAAATTCCATTTTTGTGTTTAAACTGGTCAGTAATTTTCTATTGCTTAAAACAAGTCCACTCAGAAAAAATTCAAATATTCAATAAAAATATAAGATTATGTTCAAGCTCGCCAATATATAAAGAAAACAAATTAAATAACAGATACCATTTTTACCTTCCAAAGACTAAAAGACTAATAATATCCACTGTTGGAAGAAAAATATTCTCATATACAACTGCTCAGTGTATAAAATAATACATCTTTTTGGAAGTTAATTTAGCATTATTTATCAAAAACTTAGGTGATATGTACCTTGCACAAACTTCTAGAAATTAATTCTGTTAAAAAATGACAGGAGGGGCACCTGGGTGGCTCAGTTGTTAAACGTCTACCTTCAGCTCAGGTCACAATCTCAGGGTCCTGGGATCGAGCCCCGCATCGGGCTCCCTGCTCCACGGGAGGCCTGCTTCTCCCTTTCCCACTCCCCCTGCTTGTGTTCTCTCTCTCCCTGTCAAATAAACGAATAAAATCTTAAAAAAAAAAAAAATGACAGGAGAGAGCATTACAGTGATAGCATTCATGGTAGCACTGGTTAAAATGATACAAAACTGGGGAAAAAACTAAATGTGTGACAGAAGAGGACCCTAATGGCCTGGAATCACACTTAAAGGACTCTCCTTACTTTGTCTCTAAGACCTTTATGATCTGGCTCTTGGACTCATCTGTAATACCGTGTTCTACCTCATTACTCCTTTCTTTTCTTTTTTTTCTAGCCACACTGACTCCTCATCCTTCCCTGAACATATTAAGCACACTCCCATCTCGGGGCCTGGGCACATGCTATTCCCTACAATGTTCCTCCCCCAGATCTTCACATGGCCTTCTCTCTCGTGTCCTGTAGGTCTCTGCTCCAATGTCCCTCCCCTCACGCAAAATGTACTTCATGAGAGGACATCTCCCCAAAGAGAATAATATAAACTCCGTGACAACGGGGACATTGTCTTGATCACTGCTCTAATCTCAGCACCTAGCACAAAGCTCGCCACAGAGTAAGAACTCAAAAAAGACCTGAATGATTAAATAATTCATGACATAGACATAGAATGGAACAGTATATAGCCTATAAATAAAATAACTCTTCCAAGAAATTGAGTAAACACACTAAGTAGAATAGTTACATAATTTATCTTATCTTTTAGTTAAAAAAAAAAAAAAAAAGCAAGCACGGGGGGCGCCTGGGTGGCTCAGTCATTAAGCGTCTGACTTCAGCTCAGGTCCCCGCGTCGGGCTCCCTGCTCCGCGGGAAGCCTGCTTCTCCCTCTCCCACTCCCCCCGCTTGTGTTCCCTCTCTCGCTGTGTCTCTCTCTGTCAAATAAATAAATCTTTAAAAAAAACAAAAACAAACCCCAGTTGACCCTTGAACAATGGAGGGGTTAGAGACACTGACGGCCCCCATGCAGTCAAAAATCCATGGTTAACTTTTGACTCCCCAAAACAAAAACTTAACTACTAATAGCCTATTGTTGACCGGAACCTTACCAATAACATCAACAGTCAATTAACACATATTTTGTATGTTACGTATTATATACTATATTCTTGTAATTAAGTCAGCTAAAAAAGAAAATGTTATGGAGGGGCGGAGCAAGATGGCGGAGGAGTAGGAGACCTGGATTTCGTCTGGTCTCAGGAATTCAGCTGAACAGGGCTCAAACCATTCTGAACACCTACGAACTCAACAGGAGCTCGAAGAGAAGAAGAGCAACAACTCTCTGAACAAAGAAGCGACCACTTACTGGAAGGTAGGACGTGCGGAGAAGTGAATCCGAGGCGATACTCGGGAGGATAGACGGCGGGGGAGGGGGCCTCCGTCGGCCACTTCTGGCAAGTGCTAGAGCCGCGGAGCACAAAATCGGACCTTTTAGAAGTCGGCTCCGCTGAGGGACGTAGCTCCAGTGGCTAAGCGGGGGGTGGAACCCTCGTGGGACAGTGTGGTCTCAGGACCCTCGGGGTCACAGAAAGACCGGGGGCGCCTGAGTGCGGCAGAGCTCCCAGGTATCAGAGCGGGGAAGCCGGCTGCAGAGACGGAGCCGAGGCGCGGGCTCTCAGCTCGGGGTGGCCATAAACCGTGATCCGCGGCCCAGTCGGGCCACTGCTCCTCCAGCAGGGACCCAACAAGCGGCAGATCCGGGGAGACTCCCCTTCCTCCCCCGGGAGGAGCGGCGCAGGAGCGCACCGCAGGGATCTGCTGGGTTTGGAGACTCCACACGGGGTCGGGTGCCAGCGATAGAAACGCTCGGTCACAGGCCGGGTGAGCACGGAGTGCGGCCGGAGACCAGGGACACGGGAGGGACTGCTTTTCTCTGGGGGCGCACTGAGGAGCGGGGCCCCGAGTTCTCGGCTCCTCCAGGCGAAGATTGGGAGGCCACCATTTTCACCCTGGACCTCCAAAGCTGTACCGAGAGCTTGCAGGGAACAAAAGCTCCCGAGAGCAAACCGGAGCAGCTTCCTTAGCCCGGACCCACAAGGGTGGGACAATTCCGCCTCCGGCAAAGACATTTGGGAACCACGGCAACAGGCCCCTTCCCCAGAAGATCAGCACCAACAGCCAGCAAGCCAAGACCAAGTTTACCGATCAAGGAGAATGGGAGAACTCCAGCGCTAGGGGAATACTGCACATAGAATACATGGCTTTTTTACCATAATTCATTAGTTTTTCAAGGTTAATTTTTTCACTGTTTTTCTTCTGAATTTTTCTTTTTCCCTTTTTCAA